GGCGGTGAGCACAGCCCAAAGGCCAGAGTGGGGCCTTTGCCCCACCTCTCCTTCCCAGGGTGGCAGTAAGGAGGGTTGAGCTGGTGAAAACATTCCTATTCTCCTATTTGAGAGAAATGCTGGCAGACATATGCCTCAAGTGTTCTCTGCAGGCAAAGGATGGCAGTACAGGGAGCTGAGGACAGGAAGGCAAAGTGAGGTGGGGGGGCTTGGCTAGAGGAGAAATGTGGCCACTGGGGAGAGACCACAGTGCAGGGTGAATACCCCACAGTGCTCAGCCCCATGTGCAGGGGACCAACATCCAGAACAGGAGATTAAGGGATGGATCCTGCCTACATTTCTCCCCAGGTCACCTTGAGAATGTGTTGACAATCCCGGGCTGATTCTGGGCTGCTCTTTGTTTCCTCCCGTGGTGGGCATTTGAGGAGTGAGCCGTCCGGGGAATGGCCTGGGTACCGATGACTAAATGTGAACGTCAGTAGACGGCCAACCCACATTGCCCACGGCCCCGTATCCAAGTGTGTCAAGGAGCAGATATCACTTGCACCAGTGGTTCTTGCGTGCATCTGAATCACCTGTGGCTGTGAAAACACACATCCCTGGGCCCTACCCTCATAGTTTCCTATTTAGAGTATCTGGGACAGGCATGAGAATTGGCATTTCTAATAGATTCTCAGGTGCGGTGATGCTGCTGGTGCAGAGACCCCCCTGCTGAGAGCCGCTGCCTGGGGCAGGGGTGCTGGGAATGCCTAAAGACCATGTCCCATGGGGTCTGGTGCTTGTCTCCACTTTTCCCTAAGGTCCCTCTGTGTGTCCTGCCATAAACTTAGAGGTCAAGCCAGCCTTTCGGAAGGCGCTTTGCATTTCCCAGTAACTGCCCCTCAAGGTTACCTGTAATCCCGGCTTTTTACAGTGTCAACCAGACTATCAAGCTGCTAATATGCTTTTGAGATTCAGTTCTTTGAAAAATGGATTTTGTTTAACTTTCTAGTGGCTCAAGTGCAGGGTATGGATGACTGGACCAGGGAACAATCTATCGAGGGCCAGCCCTGGGCTTGCTGACCCTTGTCTGTTTTCACCTCTGGCATGAACCGAGAGAGCTGTCATGGGTGCCTCTTGGTACCTGAAGGCAGGCAAACCTGCAAGACCCTCCAGGGGTCAGGGGTTTGAATCGCCTGTGAGCACCTGAGCATCCCGGAGGGCAGCAGAGCACCAGGACCAGGACGCTGGGTTGGAAGCTGGTGCCACCTTTACCTGCCAGGTGTGGACCTACCCCAGTGGGTCCTCCCTGCCTGGGAGGGATGGCCCCAATTGCTCCAACCCAAGAGCGCGCAGGAGGCTTAATGAAAGCACACAGCAGCAGCCGCTGCTGGCACGTGGGATGTTCTCAATAGATGGTGGCCAAGAGCACCCGGGTGTGTTCCAGGGCAGCCCCAGGACTGACACACTCTCCTGACAGGGTCATTAAAAGTCCCTGGTCAAGGACTCAGAGTCTTCCTGAACCACGGGTAGGTATTTTGCAGAAGCCTGTAAGGGGAGGTGTTCCGGCAAGCCTCTAAGTCTGCTCTGAGAGTCGTGGCCGGGGCTCTAGACACGGCGTCCCCACCAGAGACAAGCTGGGGGTCTCCAGTGCTGTGCCTCACTCCCCCCGTCCTCCCCGACAGTTCTAGCAGCACGAAAGCCTGAGTGACACAAAGAACCTATCTCGCTTATCCCTAAAATCAGCCTGTGACAAGCAATAAACATTTCCTGAGTGTGCCCTCTAGGTTTTAATGTTCTGACAAATAAAAGCAGTGCTGAACACCTGGGTGCTGGGGAGCAGGCCCCACCCTCCTCGGCAAGTCTTTTGATATCTCAGAAAGCTGGCACCCAACGCCATCAGAATCTGACGTGAGTGGACAGGGACAGGCTGTGAGTTCCCCACTGGTCCTTTTCCTATGCCTTGACGAAGACTTCCGTGCTGCCAAGGGGGCGGGTCAAGCTGAGGTGTGTCTGTGCACGTGGGTGGCTAGAGGTGCTGGTGTGGCTCTCGGCAGCGAGGTATTGGCAACGCCTTGGATGCTACAGCAAACCCAAGTTGGTGGTCTCCGCTTCCCCAGGCCTTGGTTCTTACTGCCCAGGAAGTAGAGGCTTGGACTGATTGACCCAGGCACAAAGCAGCCTTCCCGGAGAGCCTTCCAGTTCAGGGGTGGGGCTGGAGGTGGGTGTCTGAGCCACTGTTTCTCTCCCTGTCTCAGCTTCCCATGGCAGGAGTTTTTCTTTGGATTGCTGTCAGGCACAGAAAGAGCATGATTTGGGAGCCAGCTCGGGGATTGTCCAGAAGAGGACCTGGGCTGCATTTTGGGGCCCTAATGAGGGTTTGCATTCAGTGTGACATGTCTGACCCCGAGGCTGTTCCTCAGATCTGGGGGGAACAGGGCCCCTGAATGTTAGAGACCTACAGGGACAGCATAGCTCAGCCAAGCTGGGAGTAGGATGGCCCCACATGTAACCAAAGCTCCTTTAGGACTGTCCCAACACTGGTGGCCTCCACTCATTCCCAGTGTATGTGTGATCGACTCTGAATTAGGGGCAAGCTTTGTACAGTTCCTAGAGGAACTGTCCTGAGTTTCTTCAGCATTAACTAGATAGCCAGACCAATGTGGAGTCACCAGGAATTTGATTCATCCATGCAAAAGCCCCCAGACAAGATGTCTCAAGCCTTGCAGTGGAGAGCTGGAATCAAGAATCTTCTCAGCTTTGGCTACTCGCCCACAGGGACTAGGTGGGAGACCCTGGTTCTAGTCCCAGCCATGTGACTTCCAGTGTGACCCTGGGGAGGTTACTGACCTTCTCCTTCTGTGTGCCTCACTTTCTTCACCTGTGCAGTGAAAGGTTGGTCAGATGAGCCTTAAGGCCCTGCCACCTGTCCCCGTGATTTTGGTCCAGGTTTGCAGTTGGGTGTTCCGTACCGTAGCCCACCTGGGCTAGCACATTTTGGTTCTTCGTCCCATTCTGCAATGAGGGAACTGGTGAGCACGCAGGTTGGTAAGCCACCTCTCTATTTCAGTGGTGAGCTGAAGGCACCAGGTTTCCCCTTCTACCCATGCTGGCCACTGATGCGTTACTTAGTTCCTGTTTCTCTTTGCCCACCCAGGAAGGCACTGCATTATGAAATCCCGGCCCAGATGTCGGATTTTAAGCCTCGTTAGGAAATGCTGGCTCATAGAACACAAAACGGGAAGCTGGCTTTCCCAACAGATTCATCTAGGCAGCATTCCTCCCAGATTGTGTGGGTACCACGGAGCCAGGTTTGTCAGCTCTCAGAAAGTTCCACTGCCACTAGCAAAGGAGGCCTTTAAGAAAAATAAATAAAAGCTGCAGGAGTTTGTGTGAATCAGCTAACTCAGAAGTGCAAGACACTGGGGAGAAACAATACAGAGTTTCAGAAAGTAAATGGCCTGTCACAATCGCCACGTGTCTTGACGGCAGGGGCTGGGAGCCCAAGAGAAGCTTTGCTCTGTGGCCTGCAGGCCTGCGGGTGTCCTTAGGAGGAGGAGAGCTTGGCCAGGCCCTGCAGGCCGGGCACTCTGCCCTCGGCAGGCAGCGTGTCCTAGCACCACATGGCAGAGCCCTGCTGGCCAAGGCCAGTGTGCAAAAAGTGATTCTGCCCCCAACATGTTTGGGAGGCATGTGATCATTCCAACAGCTCTCTTCATCTCCTCACTTCTCTGGGTCTTCTGTATGCTGCTGTGAACTGTGAGTGAATCACAGGGGGAGAGATGGAGCTTTTCCCAAATGGCACACCTCTCCCATCTCATTTTACACAAAATTTTGTGCCATTAAGCAAAGGAAATGGGGAGGCACAGGGTCAACGAGTTTTCATGGTGAACCCAGGGTTGCATATTGCACAGGTTGTGCGTGGAGAGGACAGCAGAGTTCCCAAGGGGCTTTGCATGGTCAGGGGCAGAGCCCGTCCCTTCTCCAGCCATCAATAGTGCCTGGTCAGGGAACATCCTGGAACGGCCAGACAGCTGGGGTTTGGCCTCCCTCTCACGGGAGTGCTGTCTCTGGCTCTCTCTTGGGAAAACTGCCTCCTCCCGAGTGTGTCTGAGCAGCAGATCTAAGCACGGAGCTGGTTTTGTGGGGCTATAGTATAGACTTCGGGGGGATGGTACCATCTGTATTTTTGAGTCTACTGTCCCTCTGTGTGTCTTTGGAAGCATCTTTTCATTGTTTGGGAGAACTGAGAAAGATCTTCCACAGAGTTGCTGCTTGGGAGCCAGACACCCTGGTCTCAGCAGCAAAGCAGTTACTGAAGGGATCCCGGCTTTCTGGAGCCACGCTGGCCTGTGCTGGGCTCAGGGCCTCTGCTTGGTCAGGGCCCCTGCTTCCCGTCTGTCCTTCCCTTCAACTCAGGCCAAGCATATCTGCTCCTGACTGTCTGATGGACCTGGGAGCCCCCCTCCTGGGGAGGCTGTCATCTCCTAAGATGGGAAGAGGCGAGGTACCTGGAGGCTCAGGACCTCACTGGGCTGGAATTCCACAGTGACTTCTCATCGGGTCTCTTCGGGCCTTTGGGGAGGGGAGCTCAGGACATCACCTGGGCAGACACCTGGGCCATCCTGTAAGTTCTCGTGTGACTCAGGGAAGCTGTCAGGAGCACATGGGCGAAGAGCCTCAGGGCCCACCAGGAGTCACACCCTGACCAAGAAGTCAGAACTGACTTCAACTTTTCAGTAAACATGCAGAGTGGCCCCAGAAAAGCAGCAGGCTTCTGGGAACATCTGCCACTTCAGTCTCTCCTGAATTACTTTCTAATGGACATCCCACACCACCATCGCCACCTGCAACTTTTGTTGATTTTATCACTATTTGAATAGATGCTGATAAACTTTATTCCCCGGCTTACTGTGACATTTGTGATCTGTCTTTCCCTTTTCAGTTTCCATATTCTAGAGTGACTATCTCTCAATGCGGTTGGCAGTGACCTGTGTTTTTCATGCATGTTTTTGTTTCAGAATAACTGGGAGATGAAACAGGAAGCCCTATGACACACTTGATCGAAAATGACACAGACACGAAAATCAGGACTCGGCCCCCTCCGGCGCCTCTACCTGCTGCCCGCTGATCACAGCTGGAAGGCTGGGGAAGGCTTTTCCCGGGGGGCCTGATTCCAGCTGCTGGGACTCTGAGGGCCTCTGCGCTTGCCGGTGGTGTGTCTGCCCTCCTTTGGGCACGGTCTAGTCTGCTTGGTTTCCCATTCGTCTGCCCAGTCTCTATGTGTCTCAATCCCTTGTCCTTCATTAAAAGTAAAACTAAAAGAAAACTGAATTGTTTGTTTCTTAGCTATCTTTAAACACAAATTTAAAAGACATCAAAATAGTGTTTGAGATTCATTTCTGTAAGGCCACAGGGAAAAGGAACCCTGTCATAACCACACAGATCATCGCGACACCTTTGGAAGTGTGTTGAACTCGAATCTCTTATTGCTCAGCCACGTTTGCCTTGCTGCTTCTTCTACCTCTCTAGATCTCTCTCTAGAGTTAGAGTTGTTGGCAGATTGACAGTTGAGAACAACATTGGGATTCATCTGGAAGTCTCCTTCCACTCCCACCCTGGTCATGACCCATAGACTGTGACCCCAAGATCTCCACCAATCTCTGACTTTCCACTGGAGATATCGGCCTTCTCTGCTGCCTCCCTCCCTCCCTCCCTCCACACATCTCCTCACTTATTCATTCCGAAAAGAGCTCTTTGGGAGCTGCTGTGCGCTGGATTCTGGAGACAAAGCAGTGGATGGGGGTAACTCAGCCCCGGCCTTCCCAGCGTGTCTGCTCAGGAAGTGTCGGGAGGCGCTGAGCGGTGCGTCACGGATGGACGGCTCTGTCTCATTTGGTAAAGACGTCCTGATTCCCTAAACCTACCCTTCCGGCCTGAGACTGTGGAATTGGCACCTGAGCATTCTTTAAAATGGTTAAATGTCAAAGCTTTCCTTCTGCAGGGTCCCAGTGTCTTGCCCAACCTAGAGTAAGACAACTTGACCCTTCTGAGGACATGGCCAAAGAGGCCACTACATGCTTTCTAGAACTTTCTGTCAGTCTTCACTTTTAAGCATGGCAGGCATTCAGGAATAATTTTAAATGGCCATGTCATACTGTTTCACACTTCTCAGAATTAGTTTACCAATAGGCCCTGATGGCCATCACGAGACCCGCTGTGTGCTTGGCACAGTACACACTGCAATGCACATCCAGTTCTCGGCACGGTTGTCCCCTGCTCACGGAGGACTCCCCGAGCACCGTGTCCTCCCTCCATCTCCCCGCCATTTCTCTCTATCTCATGACACTATTTTATTTTCTTCACAGAACTTACCAATATCAGCATCTATCCTGAATATTCAATTATTAATTATTGATATCCCTCTCACTCTACTGCCAAAATTTCTGCTCTGTAAAGGCAGATGACGGTCTGTCTCCTTCCCCAGTCTGTCCCTGCATCTGACGCTCTGTCAAAAGTATGGGTTGACTGGGTCCATCCTCTTCTTGCTGCTTCTGGCTGTCAGCAACCCCGCCATGCTGAGCAGCCGTGTTCTGATCGCTGTTTCGGGGGATGAGGACACTGAATCTCTCTGAGTATGGTAAGTGGCGTTGCAGGGCTGGGGCTCAGGATTTCCTCTGGGAAACCACCCAGCAGAGAAGGTTGATCATGAACTCTCTGATGTCTGGGGCGTCAGATTCTCATCCGAAACCAAACTTTCCCTTGCTGATAGATGTCCTCAAGTTAATGTTTATTTGCTCACACACTGGAAGATTAAATGTCATCCTGTTGTGGAGGGATATGTCCTCACTGGAGCATCTCTGGGTCCTCTTTCCCCTGCAGAACACCATGAAGACCAGGTGAAATGAGTCCAAAGGTCCGTCCTGCCCTGACCTTCTTCTTATTATTATTATTTTCATTTCTGCTGGTTTCTCTTTGCCCGGTTTTTGGCAGGGGAGAAGGCAGCGTACAAGGGTAACACAGGCAGCAGGAACAAAGGCCCTAGGGGCTGGGGCCAATGGTGGATGTGCAGACATGCCCCAGGGGTCCTTCACACACACCTACCTCTGCCACCCCCCCCCAACCCCTGCCTGGTGCCTTGGGAAGAATGGCTTCTCCCCCGTGGTTGCTCCTCCCCTGTGTTCTTGAGCAGAATTCAACTGCATCCTCAGCCCATTTCCCAGTCTTACTCATTAGGATTATTTATGACATTAAAAAGATGGGAGTCACAGGCTCAGGAAAAACCAGAAATAACTCATATGGTGTTCTCATCCCCCACTAGGATGATGGGAGAAAGAGCCAAACAGAATTGACTACACAGTTCTAGACAGTTAAGGCCCTGGTCAGATAGTTCTGACCCCAGAACACATTAGAATTACCCAAGAATTATGAAAAATCCAGAAATCCAGGCCCCACATGGACCAATCCCATCATAATGGGAGGGGGAGGTGCAGATGTCAGTGTTTTTACAACTTCTCTAGGAAATTTCAATGCACAGCCTAGGTTGAGAAACATCAATCTAGAGCTGTACTCTCCAATACAGTAGCCATAGCCACATAGGATTATGGGACACTTAAAACATGCTTGTGTACCCAAGGAACTGAATTTTTAAATTTGTTTTTATTTTAGTTAATTTAAATATCCACATGGTGATATGGTTACCAGACAGGACAGTGCAGATAAAGAGCATGTCTACGATCACAGGAAGTTCTACTGGACAGTGTGGTCTAGGGGAACCCTGAGTCCCGTAACTGCCGCGTGAAATTATGTTGAATCTGAAGGGAGTTTAAGGTCATTCTCTCTGTCCACTAACTTGACTGAAAAGCCCTCCTGTCTTGTGCCTGCAATATATTTTTCATCCACGTTTTAAGCTGGGGTTTGTGAGCAGCAAAGGTGACATGCTTTCAAAGCACGGCGCTGCAGGATTGAACAGAATTTAAAATATAGCCATGCGCTGCGTAAAGAACGACGCTTTGATCAGTGACAGATGGCACGGCACGTGCAATCGGGTGCCACGAGATTACAATAGAGGTGAAAAAATCCCTATCACCTAGTGATGTCGCAGCACAGCATGATACCTTTTCTATGTGTAGATGCATTTGGATACACAAATTCTTACCACTGTGTTACCACTGCCTGCAGTGTTCGGTATACAGCAACACACTGTATCGGTGCATAACCTAGGTTTGTCTAAGTACACTCCGTGTTGTACTCACAACCATGAAATCACCAAGCCACCCATTTCTCAGATGTAGCCCTGTCGTTAAACAATGCATGACTGTTTCTGTGCAAGTCTGAGGCCGGATCTGAGTCCCTTGGTGTTCGCTTGGTATACTTAGTTTGCATCTTTGAAGACCCAGCCCTGGAAAGGGAGCTTTCTGAGTCAGTATTTAATGACTGTAATCCAAGAACTTAGGACAGGGCGAGAAGAACTTTTGAAAGAGCAGAGCCCCAGAAGTGCTACCTTTTGGAGGAGGGAAGGCTCAGCCAGGCGGTACAGTGAGTTCAGCCAGTGTGGGGTAGAGATGGAGAAATAGCAGCCAAAGCTGAATCATTTTCTGCTTATCACTCACAGACTGTCAGATTTTCTTTTCTTTCTTTCTTTCTTTTTTTTGTTGGAGGGAAAGCACCTTACGACAAATAATAATACTATTTTGAATTTCGGAGCTTTCCCTTTTTCAAAGCACTTTACCATGTATGACTTATTTTGTCCTCCCAGCAAGGCCATTAGATAGGCAGGGGAGGGCTTGTCTAGCTCCCCAAGAAAAACCTCAATATTTTGAAAAGAATTTAAAAGTAAAGGTTTTGTTTTTTCATTCCTGGCCGTACTCAAGTACTTAGTGGCATAACTTGAAGCAAATGGCCATAGATGTTTGTCCTCCTGCAGTGGATGGTATTTTTAACAGACATGAAGGACTTCACATTTGTTCGTGCTTGTTTCATCCCAGGTTTCTGTGCCTTGACTCTTTGGGGCCATTTCTTCCTCAGAGTTTTGTGTGATCTGCAAATTTGGTAATTATGCTTTCCAAATTACCTTTAAAATGGTGAGTGGGGCTGGGTGCAGTGGCTCATGCCTGTAATCCTAGCACTCTGGGAGGCTGAGGTGAGAGGATCGCTTGAGCTGAGGAGTCGAGACTCGCCTGAGCAAGAGCGAGACCCCGTCGGTATTAAAGAGAGAAAAATTAGCCCGGTGTCGTGGCATGTGCCTGTAGCCTCAGCTACTCAGGAGGCTGAGGCAGGAGAATTGCTCAAGCCCAGGAGTTTGAGGCTGCAGTGAGCTGTGATGATACCACTGCACTCTACCCAGGCGACAGAGTGAGACTCTGTCTCAAAAAAGAAAAAAATATGTTAACAAACTAAGACGGCGAGTGTGACAGAACACAGGGCAGAGCCCTGTGGCTCTCCACAAGGAATGTTCCTGTGTCTTCCACATGTCCCTCATGGGGACCCAGCCACAGGCCGACACTCTCACTCTGGGGTCCTCAGCGTTCTCATGGGTAGAGCTGCAGAGAGTCATTTTAAACCACACTTGCCGTGGGCAGAGAGCACTGCATCACCCGTCCAGCCGAGAACTCAGGGGCCGCTTGTCCGCCCTGGCGTCTCCAGCCACTGCAGAGGGAGCAGAGGTGGGCAGGACGGCCATGAAGCAGTTGGCCTTCTCTGGGGATGGTTGTCCTACCCGTTGTGGATCTTTCTGGTCCTATAGTCGTCAGGCCCATCTTTTGCATCTTAGATACATAGGATAGGATGAGAGGTTTTCAAATGCTTTACTGAAAGCAAGACATACTTTCTGGGGCATTCCCCTAATCGACTGTTCTGGTGAAGCTCGTCAAAACAGGAAATGAGGTTAGCATGGAATGACTTTCTCTTAGAGAACTTGTGTTGCCTCCTAGAGACCACCGCTTTCTTCCCAAAAGCTTGTGAGCCTCGTTTCATGCCTCTTCTGGGTTGCCCTGGAAATCGGAGGGAGTCTGCTCTTCTGCAGTCTTTGGAAGCCATTGCTTTCAAAAACAGTGGTGACGTTTGCTCGTTCCCAGCCTTCCAGATTTTCTTCCTTTCACTCCAGTATCTCTAAGATGTTTGTGGGTTTGTCTGAAGTTAGATCTGCACGCACTTTAACCACAACACATATGTGGTTGAGGCAAGGGCTGGGTTCCCATGCCCAGGCTGAAGGGGTCACATGCGGCTCCCTGGCATGGGCCTTGGGCAGCTCCTTCCCTTAAGGAGCTGTTCGACCCACATGCTCCCACTTGATCAGGGATGCATTATGAGAAAACTAACCCAG